AACTTCTTGACATCAGCAGGGGTGACACCTTCACCAGTCTTGGGAACGCCATTCTTGACGACATACCACAGATCGACATCAATGGCTTCAAGATGCATGCGCATCCTATTCTTCCAGTAGGGATATTCAATGCCATCAAAGATGGGGCACGTAGCGGAAACTTTGATTATCCCTGAAGTGGACATAGCTAAACTCCAGGTGGTTAAACCGAATCACACATAACAAGGGAGTACCTTGCTCTGATACCAATTAAAAGGGCTAGTTATCGACTAGGGGTGAATAGGCGATTTTTATGAGTCTTCAAAACATGGGAGTTTTGAAGACAAACAATAGAAACAACACTATTTGAATGCAGGGGAAGGTAGACTACACTAGACAAGCCATAGTCAAGTATTCAATGAAGTGAAAGCACAAAGACTATTAGCATCTAGGTAGTAAGGATCAGGATGGAAGATGGTATGAAGCCAATCAGATCAGGTAGTCACCCAATGAAGTCAAACAGATAATGCAAGCAGGCAATGACTTCACGAAGACAAACTTTAAGTAAAGAGAAGTAAGAGATAGAACCCGTGACTTCAGAAGGACAGAGATTTGTTCGACCAGTTCCAGTTGCTGTGACAACTGTACGTCTGGTTAGGGAGGCTGAGATTCAACTCAGAAGACCGCGTCTTCACCTTATTCCCCTTGAGCTAAGGACATCTAGTCCCCGCCCAATTACTCTGGTAAGTCTTCAAGGTAGACTTCCAAACCTTCACAGACTTCGTTCACTGGCAATCCACAATGACTCTTGGATGCACAGAACACGACGCCTAACCGGCTGGAGGATTCACAGTCCTCAAGTGTAACAAGTCTTCAGATCACGCGGACAGAAAGACTTCAGTAATGCCAAACACTCTTTGGGCTCTGGGTGGTTTGGGCTTTGTCCTCGCAAGGATTCTCTCTCTCAAAGGCTTCGGAGGTGGGTTGCTCTCAAACGACAAAAGCCGTATCTAACTCTGAGCAGCCACCAATTTATGGTGTAGGGGGTGGGCTATTTATAGCCACTGGGCAACCCGACCTAATTTGTCCAAAATGACCCTGGGTCACTAAGGAACTGACATGTGTCCCAACGGTCAGATTTCAAACACACGCGTCAGCTTGACTTGGGCTACAAGTAAAGCTGACTTATCCGACTCTGGATAAGATTTGCTCTCATTGTCTTCGCTCAAAGAAATAGGATTTGGTTGAGAATCACTTCAGTCACTCTGACTTTGTTCATTTGGACCCCACTTAACAGTGCGGTGGTTCCTATGACTCAACAAAGAAGAAAAGGAAACAACAAAACAACTAAGTCTTCACGCTCCATAGTCTTCACTCAATGTCTTCTCATGTCATGGTCTTCAATGTGAATATCTGCACAGACCACCATTGTCTTCAATGTCTTCACACATTTTTAGGGGTCATCTCCGGTAGGTAAACCGAATGAATGAGGGACTACTACCTGTGTTATCCTGCAATTCTCACAAACACATTAGTCCCTCAACCAGGTTTATCGTTAATACTCCAAAACCAAGTAGGGGTGGCACTAGATGCACTTACAGATGATGCCTTCATGAAGGAAACGATGATAAGGGCATCGTCATCACCGGCTCCGACCATCGACCGAAAACCAGGTTTTCACCCGGATCCGTCCCAAGTAATCCACCCGACAACCTGTGCATCGTCTCGACCGCTTTCAAAGCCACAGATCTAGCCACCTAGATTCGGCGACCAACCGCAACAGCAGTGCCACCATAGGAGCCCTGGCGCACCGGCCACTGCCTGAGTGTGCCACTACTGGAGCCTAGGAGGAGGGCTCCCACCCCGCCTCGCCAAGCCGCGAGAGCCGCCGAGATGGATCCCGCGTGCTCGTCACCGTCTCTCGTCCGAACCAATCCGTAGATCAGATCGCCGTCACAGATCCGTCTTGGACAGGGACTGCACCATGCCATGCAGCTGCGGGAAGCCCTAGCTTCACCGGCCGCCCTCATCCAGGGTTGCCGCCCCGGGATCCAGACAGAACATTGCCGCTGCCACCGGCCATGTTCCGTCGCCGCCGACCGACCAACTCCGACGAAGAAGAAGGCCACCACCACCAAGCCTAGGGCCGGCGTCCCAGACATCCTCGTGTTGCAGATCAAGTCCAGGAGCAGTGCACCGCTGACGACGATTGAGATCGGTAGCACAACGAATCAGCCCTACCGAGTCAAGGCCAGATCTCTGTCGTTGTTGGTGCCGTCCTCCATCGCCGCAGCCACACCACATCCATGTCGCCGCCGATCTGTGCCGCCGCCGCCGGTCTGGCCGGAAAGGAGCACCGCCTCCCAACCAGATCGAGATCCGAGGAGAAAACCGCCGCCGCCGCCACGCCACAAGGGCTTTGCCCTGTGACGCCCCGGGCGACGGCGGCGGAGGGGAGAGGAAGTGAGGCGCGGCTGTAGGAGGGCGGGGGCTCCCCGGTGCGGGGCGGCGCCACCGCACGGGGGAGGGGCGTGGGACGGGGGCCTCATTTTAGTTTGCTAGGTAGATATTGTTTCATCAAATTCATTGCGGAAAACACTCTAGAATGCACTCTTTTATGGTCTCTAATAATTAACATGAATAGAAAAGTATTGATAAAAGAAAGTGAATGTAAATAGCTTTGTTGACACCGTGGTACGGCAAATACAGAATACAACCTCGACCATAGACTGCAGTACTCCCTAAAATTGTACTAATTAAAGCAGCAACAATTAATATGGATCAAAGAAAGTGACGTCTTTTTGTTATACGTAGAACTGAAGTAACGCGAAGAGCCATCGTTCTCGACAAAGGCGGCTGTGCAGCCATGGCAGGAGCATCAGCATATCTGAACCAAGGCGGAGTAAGAGCATCTCCAGCCGTTGGCCCTTCAGGGGGCGCGTAAAATCGTCACCTGTGGACGAGCCGGTGCAAAAAAAAGGTCTGGAGACGAGTTGGTTCCCAGTTGCCGACCTCAGGACCGCCCCCAGACGTCGTCGAAATTTAAAAAAAACATTCAACAAAGTTCGGCTAAAGTCAGTTAAAATTCGGCAAACTTGGCATATATTAGACATGTTCGCGGTTTACATAGCAAAGTTATCTAAAAAAAGTTCGGCTAAAGTCGCCGCCATCCAGGCCGTCGGCGGCGGCGGCGGCCTTCTCCTCCTTGATGTGGCCGCCCCTGCTGGACCCCTGCCCGGCGTCGCCATGGCGGACCGGTGGCGGTGGCGGCGTGTCGTCGTCGTCGCTGTCGTCGAGGACGACGACGCCTCCCTCGTCGCGGCCCTGGCAGCGCTGTTCGAAGCACTGCAGGGCGGCGCACTAGCGCTCCATCTCCATCTGGAGATAGTCGTCGCGCGCCCATTTCAGGGTCGCCTTGTCGTCGAGCTCCACGCCGCTGTGCTCTGTCTTCACGGTGGGAAGCCCCGGCTCCGTTTTCATGGCCACGAGCCCCGGCTCCGTCTTTGGCTTGACAAAGCGCGAAGGAGCCGACGAGGAGGCACGCCAGCCACCCTCGTTTATGACGATGCCGGTGCTGCGCGTGCGCCGGCCGAGCGGTGTCTCTGCTGCGGGCTCGGCCTTGACGCCGAGCAACACCGGAGAGCCGGAGGAGTGGGAAGAAGAGCAGGAGGAGGAAGTTGAGGAGGAACCGAACCTCCTGGGCATCCATTGCCCGGCGTGCCGGCGGTGGGCCGGGGCGGCCGCCGTGGCAGGGTATGCCAGCGGCGGTTGGCGGCACTCGAAGTACGCCGCCCACGCCGTGTGGTTGTCGGCGGCGTACTGGGGGAGGGCGAGCTGCTCCTCTGTGAGGGAGGCCCGCACGCGGTCGATCTCGGCGGCTAAGTAGGTGGGGCGCGCCACGACGTCGGGCAACGGGGGAATGGGCACTTCCCCGTTGCTGAGTCTCCACCCCGTCGGCCCGGCGCGCATGTCCGGTGGCGCCGGGATGTTCGCCTCGAACATGAGCCACGCATCCCACTCGTGAAGCGAGCGGCAGGCGAAGCCGTTGGCCGTCGCCGGGGAAACGCGCGGCCATCGGGCTTGGGAGCGGGGGAGAGGGTGGGAAGTAGCAGCGGCGGCGGCGCACGGGAGAGGAAGAGCTCGGCGGCTAGGGCTGGTGTGGCCAGAGGCGAGGGAAGCCACTGGCTTATATAGCCGCGCCCGTGTGTACGTGTGGCAGGAGGGGAGGCGTCGCCGCGCCGCCCCATGACGCGCCGCCCGTGATGAGGAATCAATGGCAAGGCTGACCGGCGGCGGCAGCGCGGCAGCCTTGGCATTGATTCCCGCGGGAACCGAGGCGATGAGGGCGACGAAGCGCCCGTCTCGCTGACTCGGCGGGCCCGAGGTCACGCCAAAACCACTCGCCCGACGCCCCCAGCGCGCCGGGTTCGGCCTGGGTCCGCCAGCGCTGATTTCGGCCCAAGCCGGCGAAAAACGGGCTCCTAAGGGCACGACTGGGCCTTTTTTCAGCGTCGCCGCAAAAAAAAACGCCTGGAAAGGCCGTGTTGGGGGCGCGGCTGGAGATGCTCTAAGCTGCAGGATTAGCAGCTTCTACGGAGAGATTGCTTCGAAAGAGGGAGAAACCAATCAAGACCCCTCCAGCCCTTTTTATGTTGTGTATATATAAGATTTATCTAAAGTCAAACTTCGTAAAGTTTGATCAATTTTGTCAAAAAAATCAACATCCACAATACAAAATCAATATCATTAGATGCACCATGAATTTAATTTTCACACAGTACTCCCTCCGTCCCAAAATAAATGACTCAACTTTGTACTATTGCAAATGCTGATATTTTTTTATATAAATATGGTCAAACTTATTTCAGACAAATCTTATATGCTAAGTAAAGAAGGACCGGAGGGAATACAAAACATAATGTTGTGTGATTTTGTGATGTAAATGGTTTACTTGACGGTCGCACAAGTGACTAGGACCAACAATACCTTCTGCTAACTGTCCTTATCGAAAACGACAACTATTACCGGACCGTAGGCACACTATGGACTGTGGGGCCCCATGCCCACAAAATCCACTCTGCGAGGAGAGAAAGCTGAAAGAGTGAGACTCCATGGAGTGGTGGAGGGCCAGGAGAGAGCATATCACCGTCGCCAGAGGAGAGCGTGCCGACTCGAGCACGCGGAGAGACCTCCAGGTGGTGCTGCAGCAGTAAACCCAACATGCCTCGCCCAGTTGTGGCCAAGAATCCTACAACATGAACGAGAGAGACCCCCATCGAACACCATTCGCCATCGGTGTATGTACTGACTCCGCGTCCCGTCGCCGTCCCAGTGTGTCGCCCGAATAACGCCCGGCGAGCGCATCTCGCCGCACTGTCTTCGGTTGCTCCACAGTCATCCTGGATGAGGATGACAACATCGATCTCAAGCACACAGACACACGGCCACCAAAATCCGCCGTTGACGACGACGTGTCATCCTACCTGTTCTAAGAGCACGGCCACGCATCCGCTGTGAAGATGACGTGTGTCGGCGTCGACTGTCGACTGGCCGAATTTAACCCACGGCGCGATGCCAATTGTGCATGTCCCGGCGGCTGAACTTTGTCACTCTGCTACTAGGGGCTGCAGATTCGGTGTTGCTGTCTTTTGCAGGGATGCAGGAATGAGAACCTCCGCGCAGTAGCAGTGCTCAGGTGTTCCCAGACTGTAGCAGATGCAAAGCGAAAGCGGGCGGGGACCTGGTTCCGGTGACTTCCCGGCGAGCTCTCCCTGATCATGATGGATGAGTGACCGAGCATCCGATGCCTCAAAGGATACCACCCAGCCAGCCAGCCAGCAGCCTGAAGAAAAATCCATCCAGGTTTCAGCTTCTTGTTTTGGGGTCAGACAAAACACTATCCAGAATAGGCTACTCTGCTCATCAGGCAGAGGGCACCACGATCCATCCACCGGCGCATTAATATGCCATCATCATCATCAACTTGTGCCCCCCTTTTGGTACCTGAAGAAGATGGTGGCGCCATAATGCAGCTGAACCTCGCCCGTCGCCGGCCGGTAGGAATGGCTGTGCTGATCTGTACCAGCTCTTTCCCACGACCGGTCGCCATCGAGATGACGAACCGGGCATCGAGCACAACGCGTGACAGCGACCGCGCCGTCGCCCACAAGCCTGTTCGGTGGTGGTACGGTGCACCGGCCCCTCCAACTCACGGCAGCCCTTGTGCTCAACTGCTCTGCAGTCTGCACCAGCACTTCCCAGGAAAAACCCCTTTCGCCTTACCTGAAGAAAGGGGAGGAGCATTATCCATGGCATTGGTCAGGTCCCCTTCAGCGCGCCCCTTTCGCTGCTGCTAGTGACACCAGCACTCGCAGGGAGCAGGAATGAACACCGCCGGAAAGCAGGGCCAGATCTTTATGCAGCAGCTCCAGGATCACCTGCCAGAAGAGAAAAAAAATGATGCTGTAATTAGACTAAGTTAACAGATTATGCCTCAGGTAAGAGGAGAGAAGTAAAGCAAGATTTGATGCAAATCTCTAGTCACCAACAGGAAGGGGAATAATAAGTAACACTGGGCTTAGTGCAGGTCAGCATCAGGAAAGCAAAGTGTTTTATTAGGTGATTGCTGCTTTGATCCAGCACAATGATCTGGGGAAAGATCATTCCGCGTTTCTTATCCTTGTGGGGGATGATGATCTTTGCCTAATACTTCTAAATTGCTTTATGGAGTGCTCCAACTTAGAATTTACTGCGGGCATCCGAGATACAGGAATCTCTGGATGTTCTTTCTTAGTGACAAATCTCTAGAGATACTGCAGTTATTATTACTAAATCCTTGCTTTTGCAGTCAGGCCCATGACTAGATGTCAACCGGTACGAAACTTTCGCATATATATAGCATGATCCGAAGAATGTGGCGGCACAATCTCTAGCATAGGAACTTAACAAACTTATAATGATATCAACCAAATCAAAGTCATTGCATAAAAGGTCAAGGCCATGTTATCCACAGCATTCACTAAGATAAGAAACAGAGCATTACAGACATACAACGGTTTGTGCAAGTACTTTGTGACTATTTTCACCAAGATATTATCAGAATAAGTTCCACGTCAAAAGGATGACACCTTTAATCCACAAATATCTCGGCAATACATACATTGGTGCCACACATCATCACAATACTGAAGCTACTGGCAGTAATACGGTTAGTTGCTAAAGGATAAGATATATACAGGGGTGACACAATATCAGTTCATGTCTCATACAATCAACGAGGATCTAAAGTTTGAGTAAGCTATGTGATCTTACTGATCGGGCTAGGTTGGCCCCGCTCCCTAAAAAAGAGCTCTCTGTCTGTCTCCCAATAGTAAGGAAGGCACACTAACACTATATCTATTGCATTTCTGATGCGTCGAGGGAATAACATTTACAAGAAAACACTGATATGATTTCACAAAACTTTCCTAAGCTAAAAATTACCTTCCTACACTTTACAGCAATTGGTTAGTTACTGAGACAACAAATAGCGTTGCAGGCACTCTTTTGTTTTTTGGAAGTTCATTGGCTTAGATATGTAGGAATCCATGCCTGCAGCAAGGCACTCATCAGCACTCTCCGCGAATGAATTTGCTGTCATCTGCAATGCATCATGATATTCGGGGTTATTATACAGTATCCAAAAGTAATATTAATTGGAGAGGGAAAAAAAGGACCTACAATGGTATATACTAATCACTCATACATTTGAGCTGTTATTGTATAAGGAACACATTTCCAATTATAGCACTGTAGTTGTACAGAAAATACAACTTATTCTTAAATATTAGATACAGGTAATGTGATCGCGCGTCGTTCGTGCACTTGTCTTACAAAGCAAGGCAGAGATAACATGAACATTTGAAATATTAGATGCAGTGGCATATTTTACTTTTTACTCTAAATATGAGCATTGAAATTTTTATTTTGTATATGAATATTTTTCTCCGCTACGCACCTAACTGCATGTCACTTTGCGTATGGATGTATGATCACAAAAAGAGACAATCATGAATTAACATGGGAACAAAGGTGAGACACAGATACTATTTAACATGAACTTGGAATTGTTTAAGTAAGCTTACCGCAATTATAGGTACTCTCTTCCCTTTCTTGTCTTGCACACAATCAGATGAAATAGCTGAGTTAGCTAACATCTCATTGTCTTCAGGCTTTACAGAAGCGTCCCAACAGCCAGTATTTTCGAAGTGACGGATCAATTTAGTGGCTTGTAGGCCATCCATTACTGGCATGTGAACATCCTGTCAAGAAAGTGCCACTACCATTGTCAACAGAAGAGCAGAAGAAACGCTACCATATGATATATATTTCACTTGGTTTCATAGGTGTCCTGACGCCAGTAATGATATCACAAGATGAGGCAACATCTTTATAACTTAAATTATATTTATCAAATAGTATAAAGGCAATCCGCTACGCTATCAAACAATATCAATACCGGACCATGGTGACTAGTGATATAGGAAGCAAGGAGGACAACTAATCATTGTAGACAACAAGAGATAATCCATGAAGCTTGGAACACACTAGACAAGTCAAGCAATGAGCCAACTCAATCAATTATTGGAGGTAACCCTTGCCTATTTTTAAGTTCAGAATAATGTATATCCATCACCTAACAGATTAAGCTTTTTGCTCCATTTTTTGTGCTTGAAGTGGTGAGTTCATGAAAAGGATGCGCCTATTGGCTTGAATTTTTTAAATTTTTTTGTAAACTTGGCATCCTTAGTGTCACTTTTGTAACTCAAATATTTTCAGGTGAGGCAATCGAGAATGAAGTGATGGCTACATATGGATGAATGCACGAGGTAAACATGAGAAACCAAACTAATGCTAGCATGTAGCATAGACAATTGAGAATTTTGTTTGTCATACCATCAGGATAATATCATATTGATGGCGCTGTACTGCACGGATTGCTTCCAGTCCGTTATTTACTATGTCTATTCCATGACCCAGCGGCACCAGCATCGATTTTGCCACCATTATATTGACTTTGTTATCTTCGACGAGGAGGATCTTTGCCTTGCTGCTACTTGGAGAACACTTGGATTTCTTGTTAAGTGATTTTTCTTCAAGAGCTTTGCATGCTTTCCTTCCCTCCTGAATGCCAGCCCCTGAAATTGATGTTGTGTCGGCTCGGGAACTGGAAACCCGTTCAGCTTGACTATTCAGTTCAAAGACCATTGAACAATCATTTTTTTCTTCATCTATGCTGCTAACATTTGGACCATTTGATTGACTAGCACCAGGGGCACACTTTCCAGAATTATCTTCCGTCGATATGAAACCATTGGAGAATGGTTTATGATCCTCTATTACATTAGTAGAATCATAGCACATAAGATTGCTGCCAAAGAACTTGGTGTTGTTCATTATTGGAACTCCAGAAGACAGGAGAGAAGGGCGCACTTTCGGCTTGAAAACAAAAGATCCTTCTATATCATTGATAGTGAGATTATTACGAGTACTGGCCTCATCATCAGGATCATCACTGTTCTCCTCTTTTGCAGGAATTTTGCAAGGTATCATGAATGTGAATGTTGATCCTTCATCCTCATAGCTAACCACAGTTAGAGTACCACCCATCAACTCCACCTAAATCATTGTGAAAAATCAATAGAATAGTTACATGATTTATTCATTATCTAAGTAAAATTACACAACTTATTTAGTGTGAAGCTGCTTTAGTTAAAACTAACATTAAAGTATTTCTTCTTGTGATTCCAGGTATTAGTGGTTAGTACATGCATAACTACTGGTATATTAATTTTGTCTTATAGATGAATCAATAACCGGAACTGAAAAAAGATCATACCAACTGTTTGCAGATTGCAAGGCCCAGCCCTGTTCCACCATATTTTCTTGCATGGTCCGTACTGGCTTGCATATACCTCTTGAACAGGCACGGCAGTGCCTTCTCTGCAGATGATCATAGATTGAAAGAATCATGAGAAAAGGAGATAAAACAAATCCCAGGGATTATATGTTTCCCCTTGAAACAGGATATGGGGGAAAAGGAGATATATGGGGAAAAACCTGGTATTCCGATCCCAGTATCATGTACATCACACTGAAGCCAAACAACTTCTCCCTCATGGTACTCCCTAAAATTTTCATTTGATACAACACCATTCTGACAAACATCTTCACGACTGGAGCAACGCAAAGCATCTTTATCACAGTTTCTTGGAGAGGCAGCAGAATTTTCTGCTGCAGTAGTAACTGAGCTTGCAGGATGGGCTCTCATATGAAGTTGCCCATTTTCTATTTCACATCCTGCTTGCTGCTTATCTACAAGACGAAGTTTTATCCCAACCGTCCCATCATGTGTAAACTTCACTGCATTGCTGGCATGGTTCCAAATAAGATATATATCAGACATATATTTTGCACTACATCCAAGCGCATGTTTGTTTTATTTAACTTTTATCCAATCTCTTTAAAGGCTGGTATGCTTTAGGAGTATAGGAAATGGAAGCTCACCTGATTAAATTGGTCAGAATTTGCCTAATCCTTAGCACATCACCAATGACCTATAACAACAATGAAAAAATATAACTGAGACGAATGAAATCATTTTAAGTAAGCGAAATCCCCAAATTGACAAAGATCTCTCCTGCTCTGCAACTACTTAAACTTATAAATAGGTACTTCATTTCTTCCATAAGGTGACTGAAGTCAATTTGCAGATACATGAATGTGTAAAGCCAAATTCAGTCTTCACCCTTAACAGATCTAAGTTTGACTCTGGGTTCGGTACAGGTTAACGCGTTAACGCTTTAGACAAGAAAACATGGGAGAAAAGGTAGTTATTACTCAATACCTCCAATGGAACATCATCTCCTATAAACCCTTCAAGGGTCAATTCCTTCTTCAGAGATGCAGCGGCAGTTTGGAGTACGTGTTTAACTACTTCCCTTGGTCTAAATGTCGTAGCCTCTAGTTTCATAGCTCCTGAAGTAATGAAGGCAGAAACAACCTACTTCAGATTTCAAGTGTCTTAGGCACAAAGAGAAATATGTTAACAACTATAACACCAAATGAAATGCACCAACGGTTTTGGATAATTGTTTGGAGCAAATCTCAAAAACTATCTTCACTCAGGAAATGTCACTCTGAACTTATTTACTACAAGTAATACAGTGGGAATTGAAATGCACTTAATGTATACATTATGTCCTTTAGTGGGTGTTACTGTGTTGCATCCAGCAACTCCTAGAAACCACTTGAAAAGAAGAAGATAAATGGCTCATTTTCCTTAAATAACATTCATTTTAAATACCTGACTCCACTTTGGAAAGATCGAGGATGTCATTGATCAATTGCAATACAAGATCTCCAGAAGATAACATAACTTCTAGCAACTGATATTGCTCTTTATCCAGTTTAGTAGCTGCAAGAATTTCAGCCATGCTAAGAACCCCTGAAAGGGGAGATCTGATCTCATGGGACATGGTGGCTAGCATTTGTTTTGCTCTCATAGTTTCCTCTGCAACGTTAGGTAAGTGGAAGCATTCAGTGTACAATTCTGACTTACAGCTCAATAATTATACTCCCTCCGTTCCTTGATATAAGGTGTATAGATTTTTGAGAAAAATCCCGAAATATAAGGTGTATTGCGTTGCACCACTCATTTGGATAATTTTTTTGGGGGATTTGATTACATTTCCTTATATCACGCAAGCTCCTCTATTTTCTCATGTCAATTAGTCAGGTGTAATCTCACCCAAAACTTGTGAAATTTTCCCTCCACATGCGTTCTTTAATTTCCGTGCCAAAAACTATACACCCTATATTTAGGAATGGAGGGAGTATTAGAGTAAACTAGACTGTGCTACAAGATGCAAACCAGTAATGTGCAGAGATCTGCTAAGTTCTGTTTCCTTGGCTTTTTGGATAGCTTCTCTGACCCTTATATCCGCCATTTTCTCCCTTGTTTTGACCTAAAGCGCAAATAATCAGAAGGGAGGAACAAAATATAGAACAGCATGCGGTGCACTAAATGCAATTTAATTAAGGTCCCATTTAATGTGAAAACTACTCTCAAAGAATAGTTTACGCAATCCTCACAAGAAGGTTCCAATGCACAATATCGTTTTCGCATGCAATTTCAAAACTGAAATCATGAGCCTAGCCATGACATATAACATGCCGACCACTGGTAAGAAATGTCAATTATTTAAAATGCTACAAGAAGCGACTGGTTCCTACAGAGTTAGAAATAGGCGCAGTGCCACTGGATGAAAGAGAAATTTTAGTATGCAGTTCTAGGCTTCTAGCTACAATTCTATGCATCCTTTCACAGACCAAGAAGAAGGGTGACTTTTACTGTGCACACCAGAGACAAGGGAAACGAATAATGTTTTTTATTCTCAAGATTCAGAATGAAATGGATTTGAAGAGGCCTATATGAGAGAAGTAAATTCAACAAATCACCTGGTCTGTTATGTCCATTGCAACATAATTCACACCAATTGTTTCCCCAGATTTGCTGAATACTGGTTCAATGTATGTCACAAAAGTCTTTGCTCCAAACAATGGAGTGTTAAATACAAACTCTCTCTTAGTTGGTATACCCTTGGCCATAACCTCCCTCTTGACATTATTCATCTCATCTATACCCTCACCTGACAATATCTCATGGTCGGTTTTACCAATAACATCCTGAAAAACAAATTGTAATTAACCAAAGTCAAAATTTATAGAGTGAGAGCAGTGAACAGTATATGAAGCAGAAAAGTCGGCAACGAAGGCATGGTGAAGGTATCAGCAAAAATTAAATTACCTCATCAGCAAGTGTTGGGAAGTGATTAAATATGAAACGGTACCGCAAGTCAGCATCCTGTAAATAAGAAAGAGAATACGTATCATTTACCAATACCCTATCATCGAAGTTCATGCTCAGTGCTCCATCATGTGCCTTCTTTGAGCAGCGTCTTGTGTACATAGCAAGTTGTAACTGGTGTACACTTGGATAAAGCATACCTGGTGAGCAATTACAATAGGAGCACTTTGGAGAACCAAATGCAAGAAGTAATCAGCCCGTTTTAACATTCCAGAGAATTCCTCCACCGGTGTATGTGACTGAAGATTCTTTATATCTTCCTCCAACTTTTCCTCCAATGCACGCTCCCTTTCCAGGCTTGCCTCAAGCGCTTCTTCTAACCGCATCGCTCGCTCTTTCCAATAGGAAATAGTGTTGTACTCTGCATCTATTTTAAGCTCTTGATTACGAGAATGGTCATCACTCTTTTTGCTCGGACGCTTCCATTCATTCTTGTAAACTTCATCCAGTATTGGTACTTGCCTCTTTGCAGCATAATAATTTTCATCCTGAAAGCGCTGCTCCTCCAAGATTTGTTGCTTCTTTTCTTCAATCTCTTTTCTCTGTTGGGAGAGACGGCCAAGCTCTTCGGTCAGAAGCCGAGCAGTATTAGCCCGCTTATATTTCCAATGCTTTACAAAGTATTGCATTTGAGAAGCGCCTTTCTCAGAGCCTGCAATTTCCATAAGCCGGTGGGGATCCACACGAGCAGGCTGCTCACGAAACTCAACATCATTGAGTGCATCGTGGTCCGTTCCAAGTTTCTCCATTTTGAACAGCTTCTGGTGTGCATCCCCTACGTTAGGCCACATTGGTGGTGCGACCTCATCATCAGACTCACACTGGTACTCGTCGCCCATCTTTCCTTTATATCAAGCACTTCTGCTATCTGGTGAAATCTCACTCAAACTTTAGTCATTGTGCACCCAGCATGTGCTGTTGCCGGCTCTTGCTTACACACACTAATTTCTACTTCAAATTTCAACGCTCCCGGTGCTCTGAGAACAGCAAGTTGTAGCGTAACTAACTCTTGTGTCCACCAACCTGCAGACAGAGAGGGAGAGGATCAGCAGCTACTCATTTTCTGCATAAAACATCCAGTTTGCAACCTGGTGCCGAATGAAAAAAGATAATCTCATCATGAAAATGGTCAAATTTGGCAATAGCTGATCAACTGAATTGCACAGTACTCCCTCCGTCCGAAAATACTTTGTCATCAAAATGGACAAAAAGAGATGTATCTAGAACTAAACTACATCTAGATACATCCCCTTTTATTCATTTTGATGACAAGTATTTCCGGACGGAGGGAGTACTAGGAATCTGCTGGAGAAACAAGCTCGCCGGGAGAGCAAAATATGATCAACATGTAATGCATATACAAGTCAAATTCTGTAGCGAAAATGCCAAAAGGAACTCCGCTTTCAAGGCAGACAAGCAAACGCTCATGACTGTGGCAACAAAAGCAGACATGAAGCTCTCCTTTTCACGAAGCTCCATACATTCCGTAAAGATGTCACCTTCCCTTTCTTTGAGGCAGCAGGGGAGCATTTTCGGATCATGGGAGGGCAGTGAAAAAGGCACATAACTGAATCTAAGATTCTACGACTGGGCTCCAGAAACCGCAGGAGCAAACACAATGCTGAAGAAAATATGACAGATGCAAATCTGAACTACAGCGTCGAATTGAACTGGCCTCTCCAAAAGATCAGAGGCCAAGTCACTACAAATCAAATGAAGCATATGCCTCATCAAGTCAAACAGCTCAGTACTAGAGAGAGGCACAGCTGAAAGCAATCACGGAAGCAACAGCACGCGTCAGGAACCTGATCCCAGTAGGATCCGACCTCGCTCTGCTCCGCCGGTCCATGCCCGCAACCCGCTCGGCAGAATGCCAAGCAAAGCTCACAGCGCCGCGGCACTCTGGATCAAATCCCCGGCCTCGATAACCACCCGATCAAACGAAAAAACATGCCAAGTAGGCAAGAACCACCCGAAGCCCAGCAGCTATACGAAATCGCAACACGCCCGCCAAGCGTTCGACGGAATGCCTGACCAGCGCCCACGATCAGGAGACCTCACGGCTCACCTGAGACAACGGACGCGAGCTCCGAAGACGACGCCTTCGGCTCCCTCCTCACACGAGCTCCCACACGGACGGGGCGGGGACAGGGGCAGGGCCGGGAGCAGAGAGGACGCGCGAGATTGAGTCGGAACTTGGCAGTGGGGGGTCAATGCAGCAAGGCGACGCGGAGCAGAGCAGGGGGTGGGGAGGTGTGGGCGGTGGAGTTCGCGGAGGATCTAATGGCAGCG